TGTGCATGATAAATGCATGCAGTTTTGCCTACCAATTTAAAAATGAATTTTAAAAAAGAAGAAGAAAAAAATTAGTTCAGACAGATGGAGAAAGAAGACCACAACTCAATGTTGCACAGAACTGGTAGCAATTTTGTCATGCAGCCTCAAACTCAGAATGGGGCTCTGCTCAGGAAGCAGCAAAGTTAAGAAAAAGTGTGGAAATCCCTCATTTCTCTTTTTGTCTTTTTCTTAATTTTTTTCTCAGTTCTGTGCCCTGGATCTCAAGCAATTCTGTGACATAAATGGGGGATGGCAGGAAGTTAATACTGGTTCTGGTTGGGGAAATGTCCCCATCAACCACAGGGTCTGTGGTCACCAGAGGGTGGAGTAAACCTCATTGCTTTTTTATTTCTGGCTTCTGGCTACTTAGTTCCACCTTGTTGAAGTCAAGTACACCAGGCAGTGGAGTAAAGAAAGTCCCAATGAGGGAAGCTAACTGGAGATGAAGCAAGGAGTTCAGGGTGAGAAAATTCTGATGAGCAGAAGCCTGGGAGAGCAGCCCTGAAAAGCTGTTTGTGAACCTTTGGGCTAAACCCTAAGGTGCAACAGTGTGGATCTGATGCACAGACTGGCCACGAGGTGGCATACAAGCAAGACAGACTAGAATTTCTCAAACTCGCTGTTGGAACCACTATAGCTGTTTTGGAGCCTGAACTCCAATGGGGAGATTATTTTATAAAACAAAAATAATGGTAATCCCTGTAAGAATTCAACAATTACAAGAATCCCAATCATAATTTTCAAAATACCTAGTATACAATTTAAATTTATTGACTATCCAAAAAGAAAACAAAACACCAACCAGAGAAATCTCGGTAACTATACTGATATGAAACAATACAGAAAGTCTCAGAAAAGAAATAGAGGATAAGAAGAAACAAGAAGAAATGAAAAAAATTAACAACTAAAATTTAAAAAATTCTCCCTGGGTAGGTGGATGACAGAATGGAGAGGAAAGTGTTGGTAAATTTATGAACAGATCAATAGAAACTGAGCAATATATTGAAAAAGATAGGAAAAGGAAATGAATAGAACTAGAGGAAACTGTAGGCTCCTTGGGCTTTGTAGGATAATAACAAAAGGTCTAACTGTCACATCATCCAAGTCCCAAAGGGAGAGGAGGAAAATGTACCGCAGAAAAACATTTAAAGAAGTGGCTGAAAGGTTGCTTTATAGGTAGAAGGCAGTCAGTGTAATCTAAAATGTTAAGTTTAAAGGAAAACTTGATCATACCAGTTGATTCAGAAAATGCATTTGAAAGAATCCAACATTGATTTATGATAAAACTGTCTGTAAAGTAGGAACAGGAAGGAATTTCCTCCACCTGAACAAGAATATCTTAAAAAAAAAAAAAAACCTCAAAACCCACAGTCCACATTCTGCTTAGAGGTGAAAGACTGAATGCTTCCTCCAAGATGAAGAATAAGGCAGGAATGTTTTTTCAACACTTCTACTCAAGCCTTTTATTGGAATCACAGTCAGTGAATTAAGTCAAGAAAAATAAAAAGGCATACTGATTGCAAAGGAAGAAATAAAACTTACAACATCGGAGATAACATGATTGACTATGTTGAGGTTTCCAAGGAATAAACACACGTACACATAGTCCTCCTAGAAGAAATAACTACGCTTAGCTTTAGCCAGATTACAGGATACAGCATAACATACAAGTAAATTATATTTTTACGTACTAGTGATGAACAATTGGAAGCTGAAATAAATGCATTTACTCAAGAAACAGCACCTGTAGATAAAATCTGCAGAACATGTAGATGACCTTTATGCTCAATCTACAAAATATTGATGAAAGAATTTTAAAAAGCCCCAAATAAAAAGAAAATACAGCCATACTTCATGAACTGAGATACAACATAGTTAAGATTGACATATAGATTTAATACAATTCCAATCAAAATCCCAGTAGGACACTTCATAGATAAAAGTAAGCTGATCCTAAAATTCATATGGAAAGGTAAAGGAAATGGAATATTTGAAACACTTTTGAAAGGGAAGAATGAATTTACAATCACACTACTTGTTTTTAAGAGCTCCTTCAAAACTAGGGGTATGGCTCGTGGTAGAGCACCTGCCTTAAAAAAAAAAAAACTCACTACAAAACTATAGTAATCAATGTGGTGTACTACTGGCAAAGGAATAGAGCCTGTGTCAAGAAATAAATTCCCACAAATACTCTCAGTTGGTTTTTGGCAAATGTGCAAAGGCAATTCAAATTCAATGGAGGAAAGATAATATTTTCAACACATGGTATTAAAACCATTGGACACCTGCTTGCATAAAAATGGACCTCCCCTAAATCTTGCACATTATATAGAAGTCAATCTCAATGGGTTATAGATCTAAAAGTAAAATATAAAAGTATAAAACTTTCAAAAGACCACAAAGAAGATCTTCATGACTTGGAGTTATGCAAAGGTTCTTAGACACGCAAAGGTGTTATCCATAAAAGATAAAACAAGTAAATTGAACTGCATCAAATTTAAAGGCTTTTTCTGTGCAAAAGGCACTGTTAAGAGAATCAAAAGTGAAGCAAACACTGGGAAAAATACTTGAAAATTACATATCTGACAAAGGATTTATACTCAATATATAAAAAGAACTCTCAAAACTCAAGTGTAAGAAAACAAAAAACTCAACTTAGAAATAGGTGAAAAGTTAGAACAGCTGTTTCACAGAGAAGAAAGAATATGCATAGAAAAGTAATAGCACTGCAAAAATTTCAACACGATTGGCTATTAGGGAAATGAAAATTAAATCATGAGAAATTGTCATTACATTCCTATTAGAATGACTACAATAAATAAAAACAAAACAAAGAAATACCAAGTGCTGGTGAAGATGTGAAACAACTGGATACACTGCTGGTGGAAATACAAAATGGTGCAATCACTCTGGAAAACAATGTGACATTTTCTTATACAGTTAAACACACACTCATCAATTGCACCAGTGATCCCACCCCTGTGTTTTCATCATAGTATTCACCTAGTATTTATCCTAGCATTTTAATTTTACTAGTATTCACACAGAAAATGTGATGCCAAATATTTACAGATGATCTAGTCTTTGGGAACAACTGAAATTTCCTTCAACAGAGGAATGGCTAAAGAAACTGGGGTCCATCTCTAGAATGGACTATTACTCACCTGTAAAAAGAAACGAACTACTGATCCACAAGATGGATGTCACAAGAGTTAGGTTGAGTGAGAAGATGCTGTTTTGAAAGGTTTAGCCTTTGTGTGAACCCCATTTACAGGACACTTTTGAAAAGAGACAAAACCAGTGGTAGAAGATAGCTGTGATTGCGAGGGATAGGGATGAGAGGGCCTTACTATAAAAGATAGCAGGACCCATTATTTGGAGGACGTGAAGTTCTGCCATTCCCTGCTGATTACAGTAATCACACAAATCCATACCTGTGTTAACATTCACAGGATTGTACACAAAGAAGTCAGTTTTTATGTATCTTAATTTAAAAAGTAAGGGAGAAAAGAAAAGAGATAACAGCTCTTGCATCCTAACGCAGGCTGTCTAGAAACTAATGGCAAACTAGTTTCAGTGTCAGAATGAACACACGTGCCACTGCTTCCTCAGCATCTGCTATATGCTGTTTGAATCACCAGCATTTTTTTTTTATATCTAATATCCACAACCATTCTGTAAGGTGGATTAGGCTCGGTTTATAGGAATAAAAACCTAAGGATAAGGGAAGTAAAAAATTTGTCCTTTATCTCATAGCCGAGAAGTAGTTGAGTTTGGACTTGGCTAGCTCACAATGGCAGACAGTACTTGCCACCACTGCTTCCTTACCTTAACCAAAGCTGTAGAGACCAGTGGGGGGACAATAAATAACATGCATTTTTATTCATATAACCACAGAGATTCTCTAAGTTTATTTGATTCTGAACTCAAGTTAGTTTAAAACTCTGAGAAGTTGAAGGGAATTGTCAAACTGTGCTATCATGACTTTCTCATAATCCTTTAGTAGGTGATTCTTACCTTTCAATATGATTGAACAGTTATCTTCATCTATATGTTACAGTAATTCATATTTTTCTCTAAGTGATTTATAATATGTGACTTTTTACTAACTTTGCACATTGCAATTTGTACATTTGAAGCAGAGTAATATTAAAAAAAACTTCTTTTCACACATTTAACTATCCTGAGTTGCAGCTGGTTCTTCCTACTTTTCCTTGTACCAACACCATCATCTCTCACACACACATAAATAATCTACACAAAGTAAATCCAACTTAAAGACAGAAATTGAACTTACATTTTCATTCTATTATGATTATGCTTCAATAAATTCCTGAAAACATCCCATGTATAGATGATACACATATTCCTGTACCAAATGAGATATCTACTTGAAAAGACTAAAACAAGTCTTGATTTCTTGCTTGTGAGTTATTTCCAAGCTACTATTTGGGTTAGTAAGTGATATTTTTCACCAATAATTTGGTGGTAGTGTGGTCGGTGTTCAGGGACTTGTGCTTACGAGGCAAGCACTCTACCACTTGAGTCACCCCTCCAGCCCTCATAGTAACTCTGGCCAAGACGTTTTTGTTTCTGTTGAGACAGAGATAAGCAGCTCAGGTGTCCAGTGAAAGTGTTTTCTTGAATGTCCTATAATTTCTACTCCACTGGATATATTTTCTTTCACAATGATTACTGATAAACTTTGACTCTACATCTGTAAAAATTAAGTAGCCAGAGCCTTTGTACTTTTACTGTAGAGAGTCAGGTGATCTACTCCCCGTGAAAAGTAAAGACAAGAATAAAGAAATAATTTCATCATCACCATCAACACTTTCTTTTACTTTAAAAAAAAGTCAAATACTGACCAGGTAACACCTTTTCAGACAATGTGAATCTTTTTATCTTTTGTCACTGGTTGGCAGGGGTGGTGTTGGAGGCAGAAGAGGTCCACTTACCTTCCAGCAGGTCTCTGGCCAGACCAGGTTCTGCCCCCGTGGACCGAACAAAGTCTGACAGGACTGCGTCCATATCAAGAGTCATAGGATCATGTAGAAGGGCTGCCCAGCACTCAGCCGAGGTGGGGTTTGGAAGCAGGCTAGAAACCATCCATCTGCAAGAAACAAGGGATAGTGTTCACCCCGGGATGGGACTAGAGTCACTGCACATGTGGAGACCTGGTGGGCAACAGGAACTTGCTATTATGGTTTTGAACTGCAATGGGATGAATGCTTCATTCTTCATGCAAGATATTATGGCAAACTAAAATACATTCCTCTGTATGTGCCATATCAGACACAGGGTGCCAGGGTCTAAATGACTGTGTCTCCCCAAATTCCTATGTTGAACTTCAAGGTGATGATGTCAGGAGGTGGGGCCTTTGAGGGGTGACCAGGGTGGAGGACTCATGACAGGATTTAGTGCTCTTATAAGAGAGTCCCTGAGAACTCCCTTGCCCCTTTTGTTACGTGAAGACAAAGCAAGGTGCCATTTCTGAGGCAGGGAGTGCCCCTGATAATAAATGTGCTGGTTGGTACCTTATATTGGATTTCTAGCCTCCAGAACTATGAAAAATAAACTTTTATTGTTTATAAGCCTCATAGTTTGTGGTATTTTGTTATAAGAGCCTGGACAGACCAAGGAAGAGGACATAACTGGCTCTAGTGTCTCTAATCTCACATTCTATCAATCCCAATAAAAACTTGATGACTGGATCATTTTAAAAAAATCAAACACCTGCCCAGAAGACCAAAAATCACATTCTCTCCCTCATATTCGGACTTTAGATCAAGGGCAAACACAACAAGGGGATTGGACTTTGATCACATGATGAGGCGAGAGCACACAAGGGAGGTATGAGGATAAAAAAAAAAAAAAAGAAGATAGCATTTGATGTCCTCAATGCAAAGGAACTAATGCAGAAACTCCTCCTATTGGCCTCGTGACAGAGGCCAATAGGAGAAGGGGACCAGGAACTAGAGAAAAGGTTAGCTCAAGAAGAATTAATTTAGAAGGTAACACACATGCACAGGAAAGCAATGCGAGTAAACTCCCTGTATAGCTATCCTTATCTCAAGTAGCAAAACCCCTTGGTCCTTCCTATTATTGCTTATACTCTCTCTTCAACACAATTAGAGATAAGGGCAAAATAGTTTCTGCCTGGTAGCGAGGGGGTGGTGGGAAGAGGGAGGGGGCAGGGAGGAAGGGGAGGGGGGAAGGGGAAGGGGGGAGAAATGACCCAAACATTGTATGCACATATGAATAAAAGAAATTTAAAAAAAAAAATCAAACACCTGAGTACATGTAGAGAGACTGATTTAGAGAGGCCGGATTTCTAATCCTCTCCTAAGTTATACTGACATGTAAGACTTCCACAGAGTAACTGATTTCCCCATTTCCTCCCAACTATGTCTTTAGCAAGGTACCACTCCACTTTCCGCAGCCCTCAGCCTTCACTTGGCTATCAGGAGATAAGCCAACATCCACAGTTGACTGAATACCAACTTGCTGAGGATAATCCCATGGTAGGCCAAATGTGGCCCTCCACCTGTTTTGTAAATAAAATTTTACTGGAACACAGCCACACTCATTCACCTAACGTCTACGGTGACTTCAGCACATGGCTGAGTTGAGCAGTAAAAACAGAGACAGTAAGGTCCACAAAACTGAAAAAGTGTGCTGAGCCCAGAGCAGATTATGAAGTTTATAGTAGCATGTATGTAATTAATCTGACACACTGTGGGATGAATTTAAATCCCCTGCATTGATGAATGTCCTCTGATCCTTCTCTCCTGCTGACCATGGAATGGGCTTTGCTCAGTGGGCAGGTTCTGTGGCAGTTGCTGGGGCCTGGGCCTGGGCATGCTGGCCTAGTTTGAGACCAGCTCTGTCCCTGACTCTGTCATTTCACCTCTCATGCATACTTGTGCCTGAGAAAGAAAGGAACAAGTAAGCTCATCTTATACCAACATCTTAGGACCAACAATCTGAAGCAAGGTGTAATCTCAGAGCTGTTCATTGTTATTCCACTGTCTTGCACATGGCTCTTCCGTGGGTATAATTTTCTGTTGCTATGGCTAAGAAGTAAGAAAATTGTTTGACCTGATGTATATGGTACCAATTAGGAAATTGCCTCCTTCCTTCTCTTCATGTACCACAGCTTCAGTCAGGAGAGTCTCTTCTTTTGTCACTGCCACCTGGGGACAAATCAGAAAACAGGGCCATGTTATTCTTGGGAATGGGGCTGGGGTATTAGATGGCCAGCGTGATTTGCTTTTTATCACAGGAGGCTGCAACCGCTCATGGCAGGCGCTTTGCCTTCCTGGGTTCTGTGGGCAGTCACTAGCCAGTTGGCCATTAGCTCCCAGATGTGAAGGCCAATGAGGGAGGGAATTCTCAACTTTCCTCATTTCAAAAAGCACTTACATTTCTAAGAGTTATCATTTTCACAGCAGAGAGTTGTTTTAAACCTTACTAGTAACTAACACATCAATACATTCAATCTCACTACTATGGTAAAACATATACAACGTGAAATTTGCCATTTAACTATTTTTAAGTACACAGTTCAGTGACATTTAAGTGCATTCATTGTTGTTGTGCAGTCTCCACCACCTTCTATCTCCAGAACTGTTTCATCTTTTCAAACCGAAACGCTGTACCCATTAAATACTAACTCTCCGTAACTACCTCCTCCAGCCCCTGGCAACTGCCACTACTTTCTGCCTCTAAGAATTTGATGACTCTAGGTACCTCAAATAACAGAATCACACAGTATTTTCCTTTTGTCTGGCTTTTTTCTCTTAGTACAACGTCCTTAAGGCTCAATTCATGTTGTACCATGTATCAGAATTTCCTTCCATTTTAAGGCCAAGTAATATTCTACTCTGTGCATATACCACTTTTTGTTCATCCATCCATACACACATACACACATACATCCATTGATGCACACCTGGGCTGCTCCCACCTTTCGGCTGTTGGGGAATCACCTGATCTCATCTGCTTTGTTCTTACCAGGTTGCTGTGCTGTGAACCTGATGGATGTGCTCCACTGAGGGAGTAAAGATTTTTGTCCATATCTTGTCCTCTGTATTTTTTCTTAATTTAATGTAGACAGAGATTAAAGGGTGGGCTTAAAATGAATGTTATCACATGGTGAAAAGCTACTGTGCATACCTGCTTCAAAACTTAGTTCTTAAACCTCACATTGCCACCACTACCAAAACCTGGTCCTCATGTCCTGAGATGATAAGTGAGGAGCTGGGGCAATGAGAATCCTGGATCCCAGCTACCTCAGGTCCTCACCCCGCTGCCCCAGGCCATCTCTCCAAAGTGTACTGCTGTGCTTTTCTACCCATGCAGCTGGTTCTAATGGTGTGAATCTCACATCCGGGCTCTGCTTTCCTGCTCACCCCTGTTCAGCCTGACATTTTGACAGAATATCCAGGAGGGTCTCATCACCTGTCCTAGGGAGAGCTGTATGTTATGCTTTCCCACTGTGGCCTTGCTTAGCAGTAGCACTGCAGAGATGGGGGCTGGCCCCAGAATCAAGCTAAAATGGCTCCTGCACTTGCTGTCAGTGTAACATCAGGCATGCTACTTCACCTCTCTGTCCCTGTTTCCAAGCAGTAGAAATGGGATAAAAACGGTACCTCATCATCGGTATGAAATTTTAAGAAACTGGTGCATGAAATGTCTGGGCTCAGAGTACATGCTCAATAAACACAGACTATTACTGAACTCTCAGCAGGGACCTTGACCTTTCCCTTTCCAGATCTCCACTGAACACCAGAAATGCTGCCGTTAGACTGGTGCGGCAGAAAGAAGGGGCCACCTCCAGTCCTTGACTTGGAATCACAGTGTCCATGTTGGATGGGGCTCCTGCTTTTAACACCATGCTCTTTCCTGTACCAGAGCAGCTGTGTTCATTACCACTGAAGTAGGCAGCACTCGCTGAGCTGCTGCTCTGTCGAGACTACTGTTGTGGAGAGGGAGGCAGACAGACAGACAGACAGACACAGAGGTGCACACAGGCTGACAGCTGCATGTAGGAGGCCACCAAATGGAGGAATCAGTCTAACCAGAGAGCAAAATTGCAGCAGAGTGGTAGCAGGTCAAAGACCAAAGTCGCCTCAGGTTTTATTTCAAATATGCCTGTAATATATCTGCACATGCTGTAACTGGAGCCTAAAAGGTGACAAGATGTGGTGGATAGAGACTGAGACTAGTTGCTGGGAAAAGATCGAAGTAGTCCAGAGGATGAATGAATACCTGGAGGTTACCCTCCCTCCCAGAAGAGCAGGTCAAACCTCTCCTAATGGAGGGCTAGGTGCCTGAGAACTCCAGTCTACTTTATTCAGGTTTCACAGCACCTGCAGACAGCATGGCCAGAATGAAGGTGAGGTAGGTGAGGCACCTACCACAGGTGCAAAACACAAATGCAAAAATGCTCAGGAATCAAGATAAACATTTTAGTACTATATTTAAAAAGACTGCAAACACATTTTTTTTTTAGTATTTAGGATTCATTAATAGTACAAGGGGAGGTTCATGTGAAGATTCCATATATACATACAGTGTATGCATCTCCTCTATTATATTCCCTTAAGGCTCTCCTTCCTCCCTCAAGCAGACTCTTGATGAATAAAATATCATTTTCACTGTGGGCCTGACTGCACGACAAGTCTTCCTTTTGGCTCAGGCTCTGCCAGGGCCAAGGGGCACTGGCACATATCCAGACTTGCTGGCTGGAGCTTGGGAGGCAGGCAGTAGAGACACATCTCAGGAGGAGAGACTGAACTTCAGGGAGGGCAAGCCTTAGGTCAGGACTGCATAGGTTATATGGGCAGCAGGGAATTTGCCAAGATGTGTCAGATGATACAGCCCTCTGAACACAGTCACAAAAGAAAAGAAGGAAGAACAGGTCTAAGGTTGAGCACAGACCTGGAAGCCACTGGCCTGGTTAGGTGCAAAATCTCTGACTGCATCCTCTCTGTACAACATGGGCAGGTCACTTCACTTCCTGGAGCCTTGGCTTCCTAATCTGAACAAATGAGGGTGAGAACAACCCTGTCTGTCAAAATTGTTGAAAGGATGACATGGAATGG